TTGTTTGGTGAAGATTTAACCGAGTACACAGAAGAGAAATGCTGAGAAAAAAGAGCCATTTTTGCTCCACCGTTATAGATTATGTGCACTATTGTATGAAAGCAAAGTGAATAAACCGGCTTTGGTCCTTCGTTAAGATGCGCGTTGGCCTTTATTAGCTTGCGCCAGATTACTCAGTAAGACATTGTTTACAGTGTTGCTTAACTTGACGTATCTTCAGCGATCACAGTGTTCTTATCCTCTGCGTTAAAAAAAGTCTAAGATCGAGCTAGGTGCCCCTAATCTACTTGCTGTTTAAGCATTCGGTTCGTTAGAAACCACAGTTTGCGATAAATACAGTAGGAAATGCGGCAAAGGTCTCTATTTCAATTCCAGGATGATCTGCTCGATCAGAACGAGTAATTTAAAGATCAGTAAATTTCGTACACGGATTCGAAACATTTATTGTTGCTGACTGGGCACCACCTCAGATAAAATATTTTTTTGTATACCAAACATTCCTGCAGGAGATTTATCATTCATAAATGAAGTGAATTCGAGTTTACTTTAAGAAGTGCTCACTGATGGTTGTGACCAGTTCGTGCAAATCGGTCAATACAGACATTCAGAAGAAACCGATGTGAGCACTCGATCCAGGATGCCTTGTAGATAACCGTGACGAATTCCGGTGAAGATGAGGACCTGTTATGTTAAGTTAAAATTAATGACTACCGGAGAAAGGCCAGCTGAAAAATGGCACAGTTGAGTAGATCCCGATCTAAACTAGGTAACTTAAAGTCCCCCAGATTCTGCTACTACCTTCAACTCCTAAATGTTTTTAGCGAGTCCAAGATGCTATCACAGGTACCAGACGGAGCTATTTACATTACGTTCAGTTGAAAGTTATTCTGCAGTTTATATCCTTTTTCTAGGGCGTTTATGGTTATCCAAACTTATTCAGCTGTCCCTATTACCTATACAAAATTTTTGATATCACTTGCTACCTCTGCTGCTAGTCTGTTTGAAACAATTGCTCTTACAAGCAAAATCACAGAGCATATTCCAAATAACATCGCTTTTATGGTAAGCGAAGATAATGTCTATTCTACTGTTCGCTAAACTGATTCAGCCTGTGGAATTTGATAAACCAGTAAGTAAAGCGAACAACCGTTAAAGTGGCATGAATCATAACTAATGGAATCAAGTAAAACTAATAAAACCAACTCACCAGTGCCCGTTTTTAGCTGTGGAATACAGACATCCTATGAATAACAAATCTGTGGAAAGCTACAGTTATACTTTGGGATGATTAAGTGGTAGACGAGCCATCATAATTCAGTAAATGATTGAGGGTCGTTTTCGGTAGGACATCCTAGTCCTGCAAGTAATCAATTTGACGGCAAGTGCCCGTGCATAGTCAGGAAATGTATGCTCGTCTTGGTGCACACAATGTTAACGTCCACTTGAGGTTACTTACAAAATATGTTATTATAACTTGGTAACAATTATGCTGCATTATTTCGAAAACCGGAGCAGAAACATTATAGAGAGACTCAGTTGCATATATTTCAATTTCAACAACCATATTTTAGTTTCTGTCCTCCATGTGACTTAATGTCTCGTTTGTAACCGGACGCCAATTTGCTGAATGACATATGAATTGTACCGAACTTTGATTATTTGTTTCCAAAAAACGGTGTTTATTTCACGTGTCGCCAATGCGCCTGCAGCTGCAGCCGTTAGGATCTAGCGCTTAACGTGTTATCACGGTACTGTTGAAGGAGGCAGGTGATATCACGTTCCTTTTTGTCTATTAGATTTTTTCCGCATCAGTAAGCTTCTAATTGCAGATGGCGTTCTTCCCCAAAATTTTAAAATGGTGTCAACTAACAGCCATTAATTAAGCTTCAAACAACATCCTCCCTGTGTTATTTCGTAGTTCCAGTAATTGTACATAGTTATGGGCGTTGTAAATTCTCGCAAAAGAGCTCTAGTATTTCAATGAGTGGGATTGCCTTTCCCTCAAGACTAAGCTTTGTTAGCTCTTGAACTCTACGGTAGCAATTATCTTGATGATTTCAAGAACTTCAAGGTCAGGCAAATAGCCAAACTCGGTCAGCGCGACGTAGCGGTTCTCTATATTTGGGGAGAGATAGGCAAGAACATCTGTGGATACAGCAATTGGCAATGGACCCAATAACAATCTGTCAATCAGTCAGTTTGCTACTAGACCCTGGCAGATCAAGATATAGGAAATATTCCTAAGCCATACATATATATTGCTAGGATGCAACATTAATTACTAAATGCTAATTCTTTCCGCTCATTTTCGAAACAATTTTCGAAAATAGGATACAAATTTACAAACACAAGCTAGGGTTTTCGTTAAAATATTCAAACCGTTTCATGACATTTCGATATAAGGCAGGCGGACTTTCAAAACTTTAGTCAAAACTTAATCAAATCCATTTAACATCGATCAGCAGAAAGCCAGTCATCATGGGCCTATGCTGCAACATTTTATGTTATCCTACAAAACACTGCACAACGAATTATTCAGTCTAAATACATTATCACTCAGCTCTCGCCTTTGCCGCCAAGAGGTTTGGGCACTAATTCCAATTCAGCCAAAATGATAATTGTTCTTATGTTAAGAATTTAAATGCAGTACATGATATTTAGTATAACGTAAGGGAGCATTGTTTAAGGAAATGCAACAGTTGCTGATTGGCCTATTACTATGAAACACAGCTAATTAGAGGAGGAAGTAATTCTGTCTATAGTAATAACAAAATGTTGGAAAAGCTATTGCCTTCAACTATGCGTTGAGTATTTGTCAGATGTTATCTAATCCATGGCAATATTGTTTGCAGCTAATGACATGGGCAAACTAAGATTTACGTACAATCTGTAATATCTCACAACATGAAATATCAACGTAAAATGGTCTTCACCTTAGGATTTGCAGATACATTCCGTGTTTAAATTATAAATCAGGAACATTGACCAGTTGTACAAAAATCATAATTGTTGAGTACAGTAAAAAAGCATCGTGCAAGCTATGATACTTTTCTGGACTTTAAGTAAGGTGCAAAGTATTATGAGCAGATCAAACTTTAATACAATAGGTAAACAATGGAAATGTTCAGAAATATGAACAATAAAACAAGCCAAGTTTTAACGTTTTCTACCGCGTGAGAGGTAAAATCAGGTCCAGAACGGCTAAGATAAACCTGACCAAGGGCGAATTAGCAAAGTCCCGACCTGAGGAGAAGAGTGAAAGGATAAGTGGTACATACATAGACAAAGCGCTAAAAATATTAGCTTGGAGAAGCAGAATACAAACTGATGAAAATTACGGTTAACAAATTTTGAACCCAATACTTAGGGTTGTGGTGACAGTGGGGAAGAGCGTAAAAGTTGAGGGCAAACGTATGCTCAGTTCGGATCGCGTGGCATCCCGAAAACATTGGCAGACCCAGTCCAAGTAGAGTAGCAACTTCATGATTGAAGCATATACGGCAGGTAAGTGAGCAGCTCAAAAGTTCACGGACAAAAGCTGAAATGATACTACATTGTTGATGTGAAAACTAACGCTACTTAACGGTAACTCCCGACCCCAGCAGCGGCATCATGCCACCGAGGAATCATGCGTCTCCCGAAACATGGGAAATGGATTAGTGAAAGCCATCGCATAACAATCAAAACTGAGCTCCAGCTTGCTACACCTTTTCTTGCCAGCATCAAGGTGCGCTAATTGGGGAAACCGGATAGGTTGGCCACTTATCAGAGCTTTTATGCGTTAGATTGTCTTCCCGATCAAACTCTTAAAAACGCTGCAAATAAATCTTGTTGGAAGAATACTGGTTTTAGCACAGCTTAAGCCGTATCAGAAAAAAATATGTGCTTTGTAAAAAAAGGTCGTTTGGTTTAAAATTTGTACTAATGGGCTAATTGATTCTGCTGATTTTTCTTCGCTTATGAGCGTATATGTTTGTTTGGGCATTTTAATAAAAAACGCTGACAACTAAGTAAAATGGAAACCTTATAGTGTTCCCCTTTCCAACACTGGCACCACAAGACCGCGGTTTCGTCCTGGTTGTGACTCATCAGTTGGAGGTAGCCTGAGTTGGGCTGGAGCTCACAGCCTAGCAACTCATGGTTGACGCCGTAAGCACTATGCCACTGAGATCCGTGAGCAACGCTTGATACAGCGGAAACGAATTCAAAGTTGGACTTGGAGAATCCGCTGGTGGTTTGGTTGCTACAAGCAGTCTATCTTGAGACCTCGGTTATTTGAGTCTATCTCCAGGCTACCTCCAACTGATGAGTCACAACCAGGACGAAACCGCGGTCTTGGGGTGCCAGTGTTGGGATGAGCAACACTATAATGTTTCCATTTTACAGTCTTTGTGATCGCAATGACCGAGGTCCACCTCAAGTGAACCGAGGCCTCAGTAGAGGTAGCTTGTAGCAACCAAATCAACAGCGAATTCTCCAAGTCCAAATTTGAAACGCTGACACACTTTATTGCATCTGCATGGGTGGTTTTGATATTTATATGCTCACATTTAACCACCATGTCAATAGTCTCCGTAATCAATTATCTTTGTGTCAATTAAATCCAATTAAAACTATGATACGTTTTGGAAACATAATGATTTGTTTGACATTGTGTTATCTTTGACGAATTTCTTAATGCTTCCTGTGTATTAAGCATAAAATCAGGAGAAAATTGTTTGTATTAGCGTCGGTATATTTGAAGTTGCCAGTGATTAAGATACTCGGATCGGCGGATGGTTTCTAGTCAACTGTCACGGATAGTGCCCTGTCTGCAGGCATTGTTTAAAATAATTTGGCTTTATTTTGCTGAACAAGTTACTGAGAATATTTTCGTCTTTGCATTCCTAAATTAGACTTACACGCATAAGAAAATATAGTTGATCCGTTGTACTTACGTCACTACTGCAAGCAACTTATCCTTCACAAATATAATCATTATCATTCTTTCTTAGTATGCAATGTCTGGGTCCTGGATACGCATTTTGGATGGTAGCAATTGCGATGCCCGCGAGATGCTCCACCTCACCAGCGATTCTGGGGAAATGCCGAAGCAAGAATATGTGTCCACTTCAAATGCAATAATGCTTATATTTGCGTCATCTCTTGCGGAGCCGGATGATCTGTTTGAGGCTTCCTATATGAGTGGTAAGTTCAAAGTGATTTCCTAACTAGTTTGTATTTTTATTGATGTTTAGTTGTTATTTATATACTCGACAGCAGAAAGAGGCATTTTATTATCCGATTCATACTTTGTTGTTTCTAACTCACACTTCGAAATTCATTGGAATAGTTCGCCATTTTATGTTTGTAAAATCTAGCATGTTGATTTACCGGTAGAGAGAGAATTGCATGAGTTCCAGATTTATATTTATGTCCGAATAATATGGATCAAGATTCAATGCAAGAAGGGAAATGAGAGCGAAATATATTGCAGTGAGCTATGCAAAACAAGTTGCAACAATTCGCTTTCTGTTTATATGGAATATCTAGTTAAACTTTCCATTTCGCTGTATTGGCCACAATATGCATGCATTGGTTATTATTGTATATGAAATATTGACTGCTTCTGTATCCAAAAACTGGTGCTTCAATTGCGAAAACCTAAACAGCTACGTCCGTCCGGCCCACGAAAGTAGACCCCAAGCCACGTAGTATTATCTCAAACGGGTTAAAAACACTGCTTTACAAGCCCCGTTGGGTAGACTGCTGCGTAAGGAAAAACGTTAATGAACATAAATTCATTTAATATTTCTACTGTCAAAAGAATGGCTTATCGTATATAGTGAAGTAGAGGTGCACACCGAGCGTTTCCATTGCTTTAATAGACGTAAACTTAAATCCAATGTACTTCGCGGAAGTAGGATGGAAATTAGCGTAAGTGGAAAATTAAAGGAGCGGAGTGCGGCATTCAACCAACATTTACATATGGCTAGCGAGGATGCAGGAACAACCGATTCGGGGAGAGCATTCCAGTGAGTAACACACACGAATTACAAGAAGTTTCTACGGCAAAACTGTACTGTACCGTTAAAGTCAATAAGTGGCTTCTAAGTTTGGTGTTGCTGCTGAGTTGCAGTAAAGAGCAACACACATGATTTGGATGGTGTAAAAGTAAATATGCCACAATCACGTCGCCTAGTATTCGGCGATACCTCCAGGGGAATACTTTCAGAATGTTCAGCCTCTGCTCGTATGGAAGATGGCACATTCCAATGACCTTTTAGAAACCTGACCTTGAGTTTGGTCCACTACAGTAAGGTTGTGTTGCAGCAATGGCTGAGAGGCTTGTATTGCGTATAGGACATGGGGGCGAACATACGCATTCAACGTTTGCCTGAAATTAGAGGTATCCACTTGTCAGAATGCCCGTCCTAGCAAGCCGACTTGCTGGTTACCATTTTTCGACGCCTCTACGGATTGCTTGAAACAACCCAGGTTATCCTGAACAAGCACCCTAAAGTCTTGTTTGACGGATGGTCGCTGCAGTACTTGCTTTCCTAGCCTGTCGGAATAGGTTTTTGAGAGTCATATGCAGAGTACCCGGCATTTGTACAAATTGAAACGTAACTGATTTTGGGTTGACCATTCATGTACCATATCCGGTTCACGTTGAAGTACATTCTGATCAGTATCCGCCTGAATCCGGCACCATAAATTGATGTCGTCAGTTAACAGTTGGGAATTTAAAGCGATTTTCCGTGCAAGTTAATTGCTGAATACCAAAAACAGTTGTAGACCTGAAAATGTGGTCTGGTGCACACCAGACTCCACTGGCATGAGTTCAGCTAAGGTACTCCGGTTTCTGACCACTAATTGTCTGTGCGCGAAAAGTTGGCGATTCAGCTGGAGGGAGTGCCAGGATCTCGTATAATTGGAGTTTGGATAGGAGAATCCGATGATCTAAACGATCGAATGCCCTCGATCACATCAACGGCCTCTACAGCATCAGTTGACTGGGTTCATCCACAAGGTACAATTAAAAATTTTGTTGTGCACGATCGCTGTCGACAAAAGCCGTGTTACTTAGGTGAAATATCGTTACAAGATTCTAGTTAATACACCATCACATTGGCAACGATGCTTTCTAAGACCGTGGATAATATAGGAAGTAGGGGAACTTGGCCTCCGTTTGAAGGATCAGTCCTGCTTCCGTCTTTGTGAATCGGAGTTAGTATTCCTAGCTTCCATATGCCAGGAATCTATTTCTGGTCTAATAAGCGCCGAAAGTTCTGGTCCAATGGTTTTGTCAGCCATCTTGCTGCCGCTCTCAGTGACCCTGGACAAGTAGTGCCGACTCCCGGGAAGCTGTGATTGCGCAGTTACGTCAGCTTCTGTAATGCCAATTTGACAGTAAAAGAGATGTTAGTGAGTCTTTGAGGCAGGAATAAAAAAAGCTGGAAGATGGCATGATAGTACGATCCTCTGAAATGTGGGAGCGTATAGTATCCGCAACGCGCTTGCTGCTTCTATAGCTGTTCTAGTTGGACCATCAGTTATCCAGAGCAGAAGAATTTCCTTCCTCACCTAACGAGAGCCATTGACAACCTTACACAATAGTTTGTGTCTAGTGTTGAAAATTTTACCGTATTCTGCTGATTTGGAACTTTGTCATCTGAGCGGTTGCGTTTATTGGTTACGAAGGGCTACGTAGTTTTCCAAATTATCTGGCATTGATGATGATCTGTATTCTTGCCAGGCTGCTTTGCCTACAGCTCTCTATCTTCTAGTTCTGATCCCAAAGAAAAGAAACCGGTTTAAGCCTATTTAAAACCCTTGTCTCTAAGGCATCCGTAACCAGTTGATTGAAGTTGCTGACGAATTCGAGTCAGGCGAATTCCGGGTGGACTTCGGCGAGCAACGACCTGGTTTTTGCACTGATCGTAACGCGAAATGGTAGCACCATCACGGGGTGCTGGTAGCTATATTACGCATAGCAATTGAATTCGAAACGGAAGAGTGCATAATCACTACGACCTAAAGAGCACTCTGCAATAAATACGTCAGTCATATGTTCTTCGTTGATGAATACAAGATCCAGCCAATTTGTCTATGCATGTTCAGATACTAGTAGGTCTAATGCCCTAATTGTAAAGTGGAGCTCTTGATGAAAGACCCTGCAGATCTGCATTGAATGGTTCTCTAATTTTAGCATGAGTTTCTAAACAGTTTACGTTGAAATCGCCCATGATAAGAATGTGAGTGTGCTTTCGCTTCAGACTGTATCTTAAAGATGTTACAAGTTCGCAGTCCATTTCCGTTGTACAGTTTGGAGGCAATACATCAAAGCTATAACGCAGGTGTTTCTGCCATATAATTGTAGGTGACACCAAAGGGAATCAGCAGACAGTGAGACTGAGTGATCCATGACCTGACACTTTAGGTCGCTTCGGCAATACAGGATTAACTCTCATTTCTTAAGCCTGTCTTTTTGTATGAGCGATGCTCAGCAACGCGACTTCAGCGTTTGTCATTCCACTGTGCAACCATGTCACCGACACCGATGAGATTGCATGGCATTAAAATTTAACGACCTATCATTTCTGTTAGCTTAATGAAAATATTTCGTACATTGGTATAAGACACGATAATTTCTTGATATCTCTGAGCTTACAGTTGTTCAAAGGATTCCAGTGAGGTCCGCTGTCATTCGATTTTTGGAAATACTAATGCGGACACGAGGTTTGCAAACTGATATTGCCAAGATACCACCCAATCCTCGTCCGGACGTACTGCAGAATCGCTTGACCCAGCGGTAAAGTGATGCTCCTACGTAATGGCTCGCAGATTTCACTTCTCTGTTAGGCCCATGTCTGGTCTTCGCAAGACTCCAGCAACATTTAACTTAAGTTCAGTTTTAACGCATTGCACCTCTCTTAACGTCACTGGGATATTGCAGTATAGTTCAAGTGTTCTTTATGGAAGTGGAGAATGAAATGACTGAGTGCTTGGGACAAAACAGGAAGCAAAAGTATAGTTGATAGCCTCGCAAATACAGATGTTGCGCGATCTTGAACCACCATCTAGAATTAACGTTTCAATTTCCTGAAGGGGTTTAGGGTTCCTTATTTTGAGTAGTTGCATCAATGTACGTACTTTCTCAGGACTTCTGAGTACCCGACTTTCTAATTTGCTCTTGGCCGTTTGGGTTAAACGCTGTAAATGTTGTAACTTCTCGTGTATTTATAACAATGTTGCGAAGCTGTGGTTCCTGCGATATAGCGCTTTAATTTTCTTTAGTTTTCTTTTGGTTTTGTAAAGAAGTTTGAAGTCACCACTCTGTTAATGGGTATTTCTCCATACAGTAGGTGCCAGTAGATCCACACCAAGAGCAAAATTGTTAATAAAATCATTCGTGGCCATAGTAGGGTTGTGAGTTAGGAATGACGTATTCCAATTCATCGTACTGATAGGTTCATTAAATGAGTTCCAGTCCACATGGTGGAGGTTGCGAATGGGTTTTAGCATTTTACTTGGTCGTTTAGTTGAATCTATAGTCATATCACAAAGCACCGTATTGTGTTCACAGCCGGATAGTGGATTATCAATGAATATTTAAGCGCAAGGGATTCCCATTGTGAATGCAAGGCCTAAGGTTGTGGCACTTCTGGTTGGCGCTCTAACATGCTGGGTCCAGCTATTGAAGTGAATATATGAGATGATTTCCTCAATCTCTGCAGTGTTTCTGTGTGTAGGCAGCATCCAAATAACATATGGTTGAAATCTCTATACATAATTTTGGATTTGTATGTGGTGCTGGTAGCAGCATTGATAATATCGATTAGCTTTTGGGTTTCGCATTGAGTAGTTCGGGGCGGTCGATGGATACAACCCACTAGAAGATCAGTAGATGTGATCAATAGTTATAGTGTATCTTCTAAGTCATTAAACACAGGTTGATCTGGGAGAATTGCAATCCGGTTATTTCGAAGATATATGGCATAGCCACCACCAGGTTTGTGTGAGCGATCCTTGCGAAAATGTTTACAGCCTAAAATGTTAAGCTGAGAATCACTAATTTCTAACCTGCACCCAGTTTTAGTGATAAAAGCGATATCATGGAATCTCATAAACATAAGTGTCGTAAGTAGATCTAATTTAGGTAAAAGGGAACAAAGGTTAATGACGACAGATTTGAAAGACATTGTTAAATTGAAATGCAAATGGTGGGTAATGTTCGTTTCTTCATCATTGTATCTAAGATCTGTGTTGTGAGGTAGCTGAGGCACACTGAGCTCTACAACATACTGGATTGAATCACATATTAAAAGAAGACATAATGACTTCAGATAAAAAGGCATTCCATAGACCTGCGAGTCTACCAAACAGATATGGTTAACTTTGTTGGTATTTAAAAATCAACGATTTGATAGCGTTTGAAACCATATGGGCTTATGTGTACACAAATTAATATTCCTAAACCGGTTAAATGCAAACGCTGTTTGTTTTCCCTCCTAGTTTCAGTCATTTAGAATACATAAATACCCAATGCTTCAGTCCTGAGATGCGCTGGCATATTTGTATTTATAACCGAATGATCATGCTGTTCACGAAGACTTGATGGATTGCGAATTAGTACCATATTACGCATGGTTAATGCAATTTCACACTTATTATCCGCATATGTTTTTTCAAAAATACAAGCTCTCATATAATTTTTGTTACTATAAAATTCATTGGGGAGGTATGACAGACAAATGGAGCCCGAACTGCGTTCTCACCAGTACCAGTTTCCAGTTAGAAGATGACGGGTTGTTTATTTTGCGCACCAAACACTAACATGGTAATTAATACCTTGAGACACAAACAGTAGAATCGTGGGTATACAAAACCGAAGATAGATTTGCGGATTGAATTAGTGTCAATTTTACCCTGGGAACTAAAAGTGTAATGCAGCGTTGCTGCACGATTTTGCCTTCTTGCTGACTGCTCTAACTTGGAAGACAAATAACGTCAAATTGTTGACTAGCAGTCAGTTGAGTTCGCGGATATCTCAATTTTCATTCTAATTAAATACATAGGTTTACGGCGTCAGTTGTTTAAACATTCGTACCGTTGTCCAGAAAAATACCTACCTGGAAATTTATACGTAGTTGGTAAAACTAGACAAGAAATTGATGTGCCATTATACGGTCTTGAGGCAAAGTCGCTGATTGAAATCGGTAAATTGGTGTATACGCTTTAATTAAGCTGGTATGCTTAAAACTGGAAGTTTTTTATTGTTAATAAAACACTGCTTTTGACTAATGAGCTCTGTAACTAAAAAGCGCACGTTGACATGAATAAAGGGGCACAAGACATGCCTTGTCTAGCTAAATAATTACACCCCGTTTGTGTACATCGGAACACTACGAAGCGTCAACTTAGCATGAGGTTACCGCATATGAATACCAAATTCAGTAGTTTTCCACATCGCATGCCTGGTACACCAGTACAAGATATGAGCGTAAAATATTTTAATACACCCGCAATCACAGAAACTGTGTATTATAGCTGCTGCGAACTCGTAGTTTTCCAACCCAGAATGTGCCCAGAAGCATTTACTTTATATTTCGTTAAACTAGGTAATAAAGTAACAAAATAGATTTATAATAGGGCAGTATTTAAAGCGGTGTGTTTCGCTGTTACTCTCTCCGCTCTGCGAAAGGGCAAAGTACTTTTCTATCTCTGATTAAATTTAACCTGTGAGTCTAAACTCAAGAACTCAGAATTATCATTCAGTGATAGACATCACGCAAACACAGGAAGAGCAACTTGCAATATTAGTAAGCAAAATGACAATGAAATTTGCATTCTACTAGCCTGCACTCAGCTGTCTATAAAAGCAAATGTTAACCGCTTTGCGTAGCTCTGCGAGCAGAGTGAAGTACACTCCACTAGTGAACTGTTTTTTATTGATTTGGGATAGTTAGACAGTGATAGCTTGATCAAGGATTGGTTGGTGGTTGGTGGCTATCGCCGTAAACACTAGACCATTGAGTCATGTACGTAAGGTTTGGCACAGCGGTTATATATTGGATGTATTGAGAGTCGAGTGCAAGCCATTGCAAGTTAAATTTCACAATGTCGAATTTCCTGATAACATCGCAATTAACGCCACCAGTGTCTCAGTAGTGTCAATTCCTGTGTGATAATGCTGAGTTCTTGGGAGTTGGCCCATCAAGTTAATCACAATCAGCAACAGGCAAATTATTTCTCCTTTCGCATGGTGGTCATTGATTAGAGTGACTGGACTATGTAAAGGTTAATATAGATCCAAACATAGGACACGATACCCCAGTACATGCACTGACCAAGTAGTTACACCGTGTCCGACAATGTCGAGAAATAAATAAGTACCTTTTATTTCTCCTGCCGTCCAAATGTAATAATTAGCTTTAGAATACTGTTCATCTTGTTATCAATTAAATGTGATCATTTTATATTCAAAAACATTGGAACAAATACTGCTTTACAAATAAGTGCTTAAAAATCGTCTAACTTGTTTCGCTACCTGCCTTCTGTTCTGATATTAAAGGGGAATAAATTTGCAAACGCTCGCGTTTTCTACATCATAAACAGACAAAGAATGATGCTTTCAGGTTACTTGTCGTGCATGTTACTGACTACCATTCATAGAAACGTTTGGCACTGTGTTTTCGGTTGCAACTTTATGTGTATGCGCAACAGATCCTTGAACTATAGATAAGCTGAAAGCTATTTTATAGTTTAAATATCAACTGAGGTAGCCTGACTGGATTGGTGAGGAAAACATCTATGGAGGAAATGAAACGGTGGGTGTCCTCATGTTATTTTTACACCATACAAGTTTAACCGAAGGTGGGCCAGTTTAGTATGGTCTCGCGCTAATCTATCGCAAATGGCATGCTTAAAATCTAGCGTAATCCTCAAATAGTTTGCTACTTCTTAATACAACAAAAACATTTTGACGAACCACAGTGTTACTTACTAAACTTAGATAATAACGCGCACATATTTAAGACTATTACAATGAATTAATTTAATAGATCCATCGAAATCAAATCAAAGACGATCATACGATTCTTAGTTGGCAAAACTAGGCTTAACATCTCGTGATTTCTTTGGGTGGTTCGTTATCTAATCTAAAGATACACATGGCATATTCTGCTTCGGAGAATATTAAATAATGCAATATTCTACAAAACACTTTTGCTAAGTACTAAGTTAGGCATCCAATTAGCCTACACTCCTGAGCTGAACATATTCCATATTTTGTTATTATATAAATCACCAACTAATCCGGTCACTGAGTGCAGATCAAAAAGGACATTAGCGTTCTTACTGGTTTTTGATCTGGATATATACTGCAATATAATTTTGTGTTAAATTCCTTCGAACGCCAGCTCTAATATTCCATTAGCACAATACCAAATCCATCTTTCAGAGTTATCTGGCCAATTTTCAGCATCTACTAGACAGGTAGCAAGCAAGAGAATTTATGCTATCAAAAGGTTGCTGAGTTAAGTTGAGCTGAGCGTATCACGTGTAAATGCAAGTATCGTTGTTTCTGGCAAACATTTGTGAGCTAATCCTTGAAACTACAATAACAAGTACACAGATTTAGCCATGTTACAGATTTTAACAATGTACTAAGTCGGTAAAAATGAATTTTTATTTTTTAACCTCTAGTTAGACTGCAGAGAGAAGAGCATTAATTATGTCGTAACCACATAATGATAGTGCGCTAAACTTTTCTTTACCACCTACACTAATCGTGGTATTTACATGGTACGATGCAATGTCATTTTGTACCAATATCAGATGGGTATAAATCAACAGAATATTTGCCCACTTCGGACACTATCACGTCCCAACCATCACAGCCATCTACTCAGAAGGGTGAGTCCAGTTGTTTTTGCATTTGATGAAAATATATTACCATCTATGATGGGAACGTTTGCGACGTTAATGAAGTTTACCATGGTGCAACCTCCTCATAACACAAACATATTTATGCCAATGAATACTTAGGAAAATCCATCGATCTTCTGCACTCCTGTAACGGTACACTGCATATATTAACAATTTTACCCCAAATGATATTGTCTTAACTCTTTTATTTCAGATTCGTCCGTGCTATTGAAACCGGCAATCATCGTTGGAATTAGCCTGCTGGTCAATGTGATACGGGCATTGCCTACAGGAACGTAAAATATATTATTCAATAACTTACCTTTGGAATAAAACTGCAATTTTCTTTCGTATATCCACTGCTTTCAAACTAGTAACATTAAATATCATGTTTAACCATAGTATAATTACTTTTCGTTTTGCATCCATGATATCACATTGATGATCTGTGCTCTTCTGTTAACACTGCTCGCTTATTTGGTGATAAAGTCGCTCTCTCAGTTGGTCAGTCGATCCATACTTAGGGAGACAAATTTGTAAAACATGATCGATGACCTATTCGTGGTTTAACTTAAACATATCTGGTCTCAAAGAGAAAGACATATTCTTGGCTCATTTATTAGTATAATTTTACTCTGTACTTCAAGATTTGTGCATATAGCTTTATCTACCATGGTAATCAGACAGAATATTCATGATAAGTTAACGTACTCTACTCGAATTTTAAGAAACATCGCTAGGTTGATTAGTGAGATAGTGATTAAAACGTCAGTTCAACAAACGTCAACATATTTAGAAATAAGATTAATGCCTGCATAATACATTTGACATATTACTTAGACAACAGCAGTTTTAAGGAGACAATACAACACGGTTTTCTTCAGCATCTCTCACGGTAATAAAATTAAACTGATTCCTCTCAATTGAAATGGATAAGAATTTTATGCCTGATAGTTTAAACTGGTATGCTTCTCAATAAACTATTTCACCAATTTGCCATAACTGATTTTTAAAAATCATAAACCGGTTGCAAAATGCTATTTCTGTTTCTGAAAATCCTGTGGTGCACGCATTTTAAGGACTCGTCCAGCCGCTTCAACCACAATTCCAGCTCTTTTTGTAAAAAGCGGAACGTTTGACAGCCCCTGAGCTGAATCAGAAAGACTGATTAAGCAATACGTTTGATTAACATAATAACAGTTAACTACGAAAGAGTATATAAACGCGTCCCCCGAAAGTACCATTCCAAACTAAAATCTGACTCACATCGCGCGTTGTACACTCACCAGCGAAAGTCTAAACACAAAATAGGGAGGTGTTTCGTAGACAGATTTGCCGATGTCCGGGATTTACGAAACGCATTACTCGCTATAACCCTGATCACAATGGCATCTTAAGTTTGGAGAACGCCGCAATTCAGTCAAGAAATATGCTTGTTTAACATAAACGATTTCGCGAGATTACTCACTTCGAGTTTTCTATGCTGTGCTAATTATTTTCAACACTAGTTTTATTATTATAACAGAATGTCGAACAGCACCTCATAATATTATCGAAAAAATTGTCTGTTTTTAAACAGCAACGTGTGGCGTTACGGACTCACTAAGTGCAAACACTTAAGCAAACTACCCCAACGCAATCTTTGCTACCGGCTAAAATAACTGAGCTGCTGTGCGCTACCAATTGGTGCATGAGATCAAGCAGAAAAGTGTATAAGTCCCTCAAAAGATTAACCAGAATCTCAAAATTATATGCATGAATAGATTAAGTCAGTAATGAAATAGTTGTTCCGCTCCTAAACGAGTGTGTTCGTAGAGCATTTTTACTATGTATTTCATGTGCTTTTGAATGTGAAATTACCTGATGTTAAGATAACCTACCAGCATTTGGCCTATGTTGGACAAATGTCATCCTCCATAGGTGATGGTTCTTGAAGTCAATTCAGGTCCAATAATGTTTAATGCCAAATAACTGGATAGATTGCAGCGCTAATGTCACACATTTACCGAAGCTAAGCATAGTGACTCACTGAAATTGTGTACGGCGGAAGATAGCCATTGTTAACGAATCTGCCGCAAAATAAGAACAGCAAATGCTAACAGATAGTTTATATGGCTAGCCAGTGGTACTAATTGTCTGAAATTATCCCCAGCTATTAAAAGGATTGCACAAAGCTCGTGAGCTCCGCAAACACGGATGCGCCTTATTCAGAGTCGTAGACGGTGTAACGGCTAGGATGGTCCAATACTGTTTCTTAACATGCAGATTACACGTGGAAATAAAAGGCGATATAAATTAGGTTAACTCCTGAATATCCACCTTGCATATATGGCTAACTCTTCCAGTCACATGGGATGTACGGTCCGACTAACTGCATGTATATATCACGTCTACTATAGGCTTTGCACTGGTGATCACTTGACGAAGCACACACCGATGCAGAGGTATATAGGTTGACTGGAAAGCTGCTCCCGCATACAGGCTATAAACAGTACCCCACTGGGTGCAGAAAAGTCATGGTCATCGACATAAAAATATTTCATTAATTGTTGAGCTAACCTTTAAAGGATGGGTTGCTAATCAGTCTTTAGAGGGCCGATGTCTCTTAAAATTATGGTAGGCTCCATGACTGTTCAAAGCGAGAAGGATCTTGATATCATCCTTACTTCAACGTATTCTATCAGATGCAATTCTACAACTTTTCTTGCAGTACGGTGCATCTAGAAACACCCAGAAGTAGTATGTTGAAGAGTCAAAAGGTTTGGTTTTTCATTTGGAAGTAATTCCATCAGCTGCTGGGTGAAATCCGCCTTCAACGTAGCAAATAAAGAAGATGTTTTACTGATATTAGTAAGACCACTGTCTCAGCAACTGAGTTCTAGTGTACTCGAAAAGGTTGGTTTTGTCGATGTAGTAACCATCTGGGTGGCACCTTATGCGTTATAATGTGTTAATTTCAACCTGAATGCCAATCGCATTGTAAGTGGAAATAAACAAGTTGTGTTCGTTTAGTAGCGTAAGTTTTACTATGCCAGACTAAGATTCATGAACAGTAATGCACACGCGAGTTAAAGAACGGTGCATCCGACAAATGAATGCAACTTTAACAGTATGTGCTGCTGATGCTTTGGACTACAGGACGTTGCGTTAAATTACCTTAACCTTGATAGATTCTGAGGTAAGAATGCAGCAAGTTACTTGATGGCGGATGAACAACGATTCGAGGGTTCACGAGCTTTTGACGACTAATGTAATCACTGAAATGAAGGAGTATTAGATGATGATACCATTCAAACTCATTCAATGGGTTTAAAAGATATAAAGATGTCCCAACAAGAAAAATGATGATGCTTAATATGATGCCATTATAAGTCTGCATTAACCAATTTCGCAGGAAACAGAACTCCGTTCCATATATAGGGAAACCAAATATACGGACATGACTACCGCTTGCAACTACCCCTAGAGTAGTGGATGTTTAACAATAAAACTGGATGAATTTAATGAGATTTGTAAACTATTAGTTCTCGGATCAGTACCTGGTTTGTTGATCGACGGTTACAGAGATCGAATTGAGCAAAACTGACATGTCCTTACTCAACATTTCCTAACCAGATCCAGTAGAAGGAACTGCACTTTTTAATACTTGACCTAATACTGAAGCAGTTGAATGGGCAAAAGATGCTATGGCATTAAAATTGAAACGCTGTGGCTTTTTCATCCATCCTGAGAAGTACTGATTTTGTGACTGCATGTCGCCATTCAAGGAAATAGTATATTCACGAAGATCTTCAGCATCCAGGACTAAATGTGTGTAGACGACATTTGTGGGTTTCCTTCTCCGATACTAGTGCTAACGGCACATGTTCGGATGTCAGGAATAGTGCCACCGGTTAGGTAACAGCTGCGAATGTCCGCCAACTGCAGCTGACGGAAACACTTTACTTCCTTAGAAACGCTGGTAGGGGTGCATTAATTTACTTGGTCTTAACTTTATTTTATGTGTTCCTAGTAGGTATCAGAGTGTTGTACTAAAAGTATAAGGAATTGTAAAATTAGCTGAGACAAAGAGAGTGGATGTGATCATGATGCATCATGTGGAGTACGCAGAAGTTAGCTTTGATCATATTTTCAACCACAGCGCCAGGATGCTTGTAGGGAACTATGCTTCACATCTACAACAAAATCCGATACAAAGCTAAAAAGTTGTGTTCCGATAATTTAGTAGTTAAGTAAAATTATTTAACTGTATTTTGTCATCATGTTGAGAGAAATCGCTTAATGAACCTTGCGCGGAGAACACCCAGCTACGAAACACAGGATTTTAGCAATATATCAAAAACGACAGGTCAAAAACGGAACATTACCAAGAATAACTAATTAATAAAGGATAAACAGAATCGCTGTCATATTGAAATTCCACCGGTTTAGACTATGATGACAGAGGTAGGGTTCAGGAAAATCGCTAAATTTAAGCGATGACGGAGGGGTGGTAGGCTAGTGCTGAAGCAAATATCAACTTTTACTTGTGCCTAGTAGACAAGATGACAGCTATTCACAAGAAGCGATGTAGAGGGGATGAACTGTATCGGTCGATATCTTAGGCGCTGGTTTCTGTCAAGAACCGGCGTATGGAGGCAGCTGGATGTTATAAACCTAGACAAATGAATGCAGCTACATAAGGATGACCGGACATGCAACTTAAAGTGCCTAACCTGAAGACCGGGCAAATAAAAGGGAAATCGTGTGTCCCGTGCTAAAGAATTCAGACATTGCTAAAGTGGACTAGCACACAAGATAGTGAGGAGTATTTTAACCGACTTGTAGAAGTAAAAGCTATTTATTTTGTGAAAGTTTCTTGTACACGAAGTGTCCAAGATAGCTCGTAATTCAGCATCACACCTGAGTATTCCATTGCTTTGGAAGAGTATACTCCATCGCCGTCAAGTTGTAGCTTGAATCACTGTTTACCTAACTCCTTTGTGTTGCAAAAATGCATATCGCAAAATTTCGAGTTAATAAAAGACAGGTTATAAGATTTACACCAGAATTCGAGATCGTTCAGCAGAAATTACAACCTGAGTGTGTATTCGTTAATTCGATGATTTATACCCAGGGCGATATTGTCAGGCTATTTCAATTAGGTCGTTCATGTGGTGTCTGACATTAGGTTAACGTAAGCAGAAAATAAAAGTATGACATAATTGCTTTCTAAAATACACCGGAGTTAGTGATTAGTGTGAAGGGGTATCTACCACTTGGTCGGGTGCTCGGAGTGCATCTAGCAAGATAATCGCACA